CATCAATAAAAGAAACATAATAAAAGGCATTCAAAAAAGAAGATACACGAGCTGGTCCCCATACATCAGAATGAATAACTTGAAAGGGAATTTCACTTTTATTTGAACTAGGATAAAAAGGCAGACGATGGCTTTTAGCCATTTCACAAGTAGAACAATGAAATTCAGAAGGATTACAATTCAAAAATAAATGAGGAAATAATTTATTCAGATAAGGAAACGAAGGGTGTCCTAATCTCCTATGCCAAAGCCATAGTGTAGAATTTTTATTTGCAGAACTATGAGCAACAGCTGCCTGAAAAGCTATGTCCGATGCATTATGAGAAGCGTCAAAAAAATAGAGATTGTGCTTTCTAACACCATAGCCAAGAATCATTTTTGTTTGGAGATCCTGAAATACACAGAATTTTGGGTAAAACAACACTGCACAATTAATTTCTGAAGTCAGTTTACTTACAGACAACAGATTAAATTCAAGAGAGGGGACCACAAAAACAGAGGACAGAGTAATGGTGGGTGACAAAACAAGGGTTCCTTGACCCGTAATTGAAGCAGTGCTACCATTGGCAGTAGTAACAAAGGTTGTATCACAAGGCAAAAATTCAGTCAAAACAGAAGCATCATGAATCATATGGTTTGATGCACCAGTATCAATTATCCAAGACAAATTGTTATAGTGAGTAGAAAGAGCAACAGAATTACCTAGTAAGCCTTCATAGATAGCATTTGCCTGAGGAGTGGAGACCGAATCACCAGCGGAGGAAAGGAGAGCTTTAGCTTTGCGACGAGGGCGTTTTGTGAAATCCCACCAATCGGGATACCCAATTAATTCATAGCACCGAGCCTTGGAGTGACCGGAATCGCCACAGTGAGTGCACTGGAAAGTCTTGGCAGAGGGACCTTCCTTTCTGTGTTTCGGGGCAGAAGAGACAGGAGCAGAACGAGAAACATGAGAGAGTAGAGCAGAGGAATCCGGTGAAGGGAACGGTTTTCCCATTGTAATCCGTTGCTGATATTAGCGACGAAGGAAGGCATAGGTGCTCTCCAAGTCCAGCTTTGGTTCTTTACGGAGGATCTCACCTCTGACTTGATCAAAATCAGAATCAAGCCCACTCAAAAAAATGTACACACGCATACGAGCCATTGAGGAGTGCGTGTGAACAACATCAGCAACGGAAGCAGCAGAGGAGGACATGCGATGATCGATCTCCTGAAAGATGGAGAGAAGTTCATTATAAAACACCGACAGAGGCCGGCCATTTTGCTTAGAAGAAAACGACCGTTGATGGAGTTCGAACAGGCATGATTCATCCGAACCATCGTAGAAGGTTCGCTTGGTCGCCTCCCATATGTCGTGAGCAGTCTCAAGACGGATGAACCTCTGCATCAACGAGGGTGACATCGAATCGATGAGCCAACTCTTCACTCTTTTGTTGTCGGTGACCCAATTGTCATAGGAGGGATCAGTGGGGGGAGGCTTCGGTGTCGAACCGGTGAGGAACCCAGACTTATTCCTTGCACCGATGCGCATGTCAAGAAGTTGTGACCAGAGTGGATAATTTGAGTCATCAAGGATGACAGAAAGAGGAAAGGATGAGGTCTCTTGTTGTATGATAATGTTTGAAGGAGAAGTGATAGAGGAACCGGGTGGAGTGGGAGGTGTGGGCGGTGTGGGGTTGTTGTTGTTGGTAGGATCCATTGACGGTGGAGGGGAAATATCAGGGTTAGGGATTGGGAAGGCTGTTCGGGTAGAGAAGAAGCGTTTCGGGTAGGGATTTGAGGAAATGGGTAGAGAAATTCAAAGAGAGGAAAGAAGGAAACCGGGTTCGGGTAAGAAAATTAAAAAAATGGGTCAGGAAAAACAAACTAAGAGAGATAGGTAGAAATACTTTCGAGGATTAGAAAATAATTCATCTGATACCATGTCAGAAATCTAATCCTGGAAATGTACATTGCTTTATTAATTTTCTCCTCTTTAACTGAGGTATTTATACAAGTATCATAAAAGAGAATTCACTTAAAATTAGATAACAACCTCTAAAAAACTAAACAACTAAACAACTCAATCCTATCCAATTTACATCAATAGCTCAACAACCGAAATTCTCTTAACAAACTAAAATCTATTTTCAACACTTATCATAGTCTTGACACTCGCATGTCATACAGTAACGGAAACTACTAGAACCAACAACAACATTTTATGTGAATATGCAACAAACTGTAGAAAATAATAATAATGTTACATGAGTTAGGATCATTTTACACCAGTATAAGTTACACATTTAATTTTATCCGTTGATCTCACTTATATCTAAAAACTTTAATTTTTTTAGTAATGTGAGCCATTAAATACAAGTGGATCAATGGTCAAGATTAAATGTAACTCTTTCACTGATGTAAGAATATATTGTCCCATATTATATATATGGATGGGCCATTTGTAAGTAATTATTAATAATAGAATAAGCAAATCATTCTCAATAATTAAAAGAGTATTATATAATTATTAATATTCTATATCATTGAAGGACCTTCCTAGATCAATCTCAAATTTTTCTGAATATCACCTGGCAAAGTAGAACAAAAAAGCAGCTTGCTTGAATGTTATGTCAAACTTAACTTTTGGCAGATTCTTTTGTACAGCTGTGCGAACAAGTATGGGTTGCCGGTAACCTAATATTTCAAGTTTGAACTTTTACTGTCTTTTGTTTATTGAAATACCGAATACGTGTTTAATATTTGGATTTTAGAAAAAAATTATTATTATTGAGGCGTTTGGTAGAGGAGAAATATTTTTTTGTCCGGAAAACTCGATTTTCAAAAATATAACTTTTATATTTAGTTTACGATAATATCCAAAAATTTAAAATTTAAAAAATTTCAATTTTTCGAAAATCCGGCTAAAATTCTTGTATCAAACGCCCCCTAAAGGTATTCTTATTCATTCTTCTCTGACTATCTTATCTTCAAAATAAGTTCTAAAACTAGTTTCTTATTAAAATATATAATGCATTGAATCACTGCTGTCTGAAAAAAGATAAAACTAATCACTCATTGGAAAAAGAAGCCTTTTTCCTCTAATCCATAAAAAATTTCAAAAATTACTTTCACCAAGATTTAAATCATAAACAAAGCAACCCTGGATGCTCAACTTTGCCTTGACCTACGGGTTTAGAAACCTCTTTTTTAATTTATAAACTCACTTCGAAAAAACCAAAAAAGACATATGAAATGCCTTTATTAATTTTTTAACTGTAAAATAGTTATATATATGATAAGACATTTTTATACAGAAAGTCTTATTCAATTAATAAATACTTTTCAATGATAATCATAGTTTGTATTTTTAATAATAAACTATGGGAAATGCAAGAGTTATGTAATATGAAAAAGAACAAATCAGCTTTTGGTGAAATCCACGAATTAAAAAAAAAAGAAAAAAAGAATGAGGCGCTTTTATCGATGAGACTTGTGAGTGCAGGAATTTTTTTTCTTTCATGTTACATAATTCTTATATTTCCATAAACTAATTGATGGTGGAAGCATCCTTCTAATGCTGCTTTATTCACTAATAAACAGATCGAAATTAATACACTAGCATGTTATAAAAAAAAAAAAAATTAATACACTAGCATTGTTGTGCTCAAACCTTTTTGGTTTCTTTTATAAATTCGAAGACTATCTAGATTGCGCCAAAATCACGTTTCTGCGGATATAAATGGAATTGCACAGTAACTAAAGGCATTGGGATGATTTTTCGAGTGAAAAAAGGTTATTTTTTGAGATGAGTATATATAATTGATTTTGAGAAATAAAATAATTGATTTTTATTAAATAATATATATATATATATATATATATATATATTTGTATTTATATTTAAAACTTATTTATTATTAATAATACTGTACACTTGATTTCAAAATTACGTAATCTGTAAAACACTTGATATTCCATTAACTACAAATTTTTAGATAAATTTTTTGAATAAGTAGCCAAAGATGATTCATTCATGGTATAATATTTTTACTATGAGTGAACATAAATTAAATCTAATTTTAAAAAACCGAAATGAAAAATAAGCTTATGTAAAAATGCAGAATAAATAATTTTTTCATTTATAAAACAAAAAATAAAATTATCTTCTTGTGCAAAATTAATGTGTGTATTATAACACTTTATTAAAAAAAACTAAATAAGATAAAATTTTACGTGAAAACATCCTTTTACATAGTGGCATAACGTGACAGTTAATAGATTTTTCTCAAAGGGAGAATGATGTAATTTGACTTCATATTTTGCAAAGTACCACTTACGTCTTGCACAAGTAACTAAAATAATTTTATATCTATAACCACCAACATCCTAAAGTTTTGCTTTTATATGTACATCGATGGGTCGATTATTTCATAGGAGATAAATTTATCTCTTGTATAAATATAAAAGTATGTATAATTTATATTTTTTTCTCTTTTCTTTTTAAATGTACTCATATATGGTGTATAGAAAATAAATTTATTTTCTAAAAAAAATAAACCATATATCTATATATATAAAAGCAAAACCAAGATATTAGCAATTGATAAATCATTTCCAATTCTTATATGCATACGTGTCTCAGTTCAAACGCAAGCGCAAATGCAACGCACTCTGGCTGACACGCAAAAATGCCAAACAATCATGAATTATTATTAAGTCTCTTTTAAAATAGAAATTATTTATTCTTAATTTAATTTAAAATATACAGTAATTTTAATCAGTTAAAATTTAAAAATAAACACACTTTTAAGTATACGTTTTTCGTAAAAACTTCAATAATTTTTGTTGTTGTTTTTTTTTAGCAAATTATAATAAACTAAAATCATTGTTGAATTATTAGGCAGTAACGTGGCACAACTCATAATAAGACAATAACGTCGTATGAAATGAATAAAATTAAATAAGGTAGGTGAGAGAGGATAAGGTTGGGAAACCATCGAAGTTAAAAAAGACACAAGCACAAAACTGGTACAAGCACACTGAAACTCTTAAAGTGGAAACCGGCTACCATTACCACTTTTGGACTTTAGTTTTCAGATAACACACACTTACCGCACTTCCCTCTTAGATAACGGTGGCGCCCCTTTTATTATTACCGGCTATTCAGGTCACCCTCTTCCTTGCTCTCTCACTCTCTATATATATCTTAAATTAAAATCCAAACATCCCATCGATATTTCCCAGTGACTGTTTTTTTATACTTTCGGATTCACATTCAACCCGACCCGATTCTATTGTTTGAGAACACAGAGAGAGAGAGATGATACTGGTGGCGATTGTGGCTGAGGTGCTGGAGGAGTACACGGCGTTGCTGGCGAGGGTGGTGGAGCAAGTTTTCCGTTCCGCGCCTGTACCGCGACGGGTTCGTTTTCTGATCCTCCATAGCCTTCCCTTTGCTTCTTCTCGCCCTAGGAGGATTCGAGATCCTCCCCCTGCATATTAGTTCTTCCTTCTTCTTCTTCTTTTCTTCAGTTTTTTCTTTTTTTTGGGTGTAATTTTGTGAGTGATGGTGGCTCTCCATCTTTGTGTGCCATTATCGAGCTTGTGTAAATTTTTTTTGTTTTTTTATTTTTGTGCATGTGACTAAGGATACATCGAGTTTTCGGTAGATCCTTCATCTGGTGGCATTTGGCATTTGTTTTATTTTTGGGTTTGATGTTTCTAATTACAAATGATAGAAGTTATCTCATTTTTTTGAGAAAGACACACTAAATAAAAATCATTGCGTGAATGATTTTTTTTAATTTAAATTTTAAGTAAAAAAATTTATTTTGTGTCTGTGTAATAATAAATAACTTTATATTATTTAAAATAATACATATTTTTTTCTTTTATTTATACTAAATTATTAATAAATAATTTATTTTAAAATTAAGTAAGAGAATAATTTGATGGGTGTTTGGTTGTGGAGAAATTGTTTGGTTGGGGAAATTTTTTTTGAATACTATAGAAATATAATTGATAAGAAAATAGTTGAAAAGTGAATTTGGTAAGAAAATATAAAAAAAGTTGTTTGGTTGAGTAAAATTTTACCAAGAATATTAACACAATTTTAGTATCAACTTTTTCATTTACCTAGCAAAATCACAATACAGAATTTGGTTTAAGATTACATACAAATTTTTTTTCCAACAATACAATTTTTCCCAGCAATTTTTTTTTTAAGTGTTAGCAAACATGGTATTATTGAATGTCCATCCTCACTTCCCCGTGCATCTTACAAAAATCTCCAACCAAATACCACGTAACATGTTTGGTTTAAATGTTGTCAAACGAAAAGGACGGAAATACGCGATACGAAGCACGAAAATCAAAAGGATTTTTTTTTCCTTCGGCCAAATGGGTTATTTAATGACCTTGAAATTTAAGACAAAGCACTAATCATCTCAATAAGTTAAAGTTTGATGACCTTATGGGGGCGTTTGGTACGCGGGATTTTGAGGGATTCCCGGGAAACTGAATTTTTCTAAATTTTAAATTTTCAGATATTATCATAAACTGAATGCAAAAATCATATTTTTGAAAATCGAGATTCCCGGACAAATAAAAATTTCTCTTGTACCAAACGCCCCCTATAATTCTAAAACAAAACATCAATCATCTCGATAAGTTAATTTTTCAAAATAAACTATGTTTGTAAACTTAAATTATAATAATATACCCCAAAGAAACAAATTATAATAATTGATATTTTCATTAAAAAGACAACTGACACCAATATATCGGTCATAAAATGGGTTTCCCATTCCCCTAAAATGAAAGTTACTTCGTGTGCCCAACAAATTGGACTATTACAACGCGCATTTTGAAGAGGTTTCTCCTTTAGGTATTGTTTCGCACGAAATAAATATTGGTTAGTGCTTTAATATAAAGCATTTTCATGAACTAGAGTCATGGCATACAGGCATTATCATACTAATTCTTTTTTTTATTCAATCCTAAATTATTTACAAACATTATTCAATCTTGTATTATGATAACTATGATTAAATTAAATTACAATATAATAAGTTCAATATTTTTTCCAATTAAATGACGACAAAAGTTAAATTCTTTTATCCTTGTACATTGATATCAATATACTTCCGAGGATTAGCCCACAGAATCCTAGGCAAATTATAGAATTAACAAATGTATCATTAGACGAATGTTTATAGTATATTCTGCATGTTCATTATTTTTTAATTATAATTCTAGTGAGAGTTTAACACCTCAAATAATTGTTATTGTAATGGAATAGAGAAAAAAAAAAAGTTTCTGCACCCTTCGAATCGCGCGTCCACAGAGAACCGTTAGTAGCCACCACATGGGATGTTTCAAGTTTTCGGTGGATGTTTCGTTCACAATAAAGAGTTATTTAATTCAAATGGTTCAATCATAAATTAGACAATGAAAGTTGAATCCAGTAAAAGAAGAACGTAATTCTCTATAATTATGATGGATTTTCATTTTTTTTTCTTGCAATGATTGATTAGCATATAGCGCTTTCCATTATCAATGGGCGAAAATTGATGCCACGATCAAGAAAGGACTACTTTATATCATCAGCAAAGAGAAAGTATTGCTCCTTAAAAGTTACTTTTACTAAATAGGTCAAAAGTGATCAGTGTTAATGTGTTGTTTCTGATTTTAACTTGGAATGGAGCAACAAAAAGGATGAATCAAGTAATAAGTATATTTGAGTTTAACGATTGAGAGATTTTTACCCTATCAAAAGTTTGAACTTGCAAGAAAATATTTTAAAAATGTTTGTAGTAAAGGGTAATTTCAATATCTTGATTAAGAATTATTCTTACATCCAATGAACGTAGGGGCAAGTTAGACTATTATGCCACTCGAAGACTATTATGAGAATTTTAATAGCTTTTTTTATAACGAGGATAATGTTTCTTCTTTTTTATGAATTTCGACCCAAGGACCGTTTTGTAGGTCTAACTTTTTCTTGGGTGGTGCTAGTGGTTTATAGGAGGTTTTAGACTTTCTTCTTCCGTAATGTCATCCTCCTCGTCATAATGCATCCAACTGTCACAATCAGGACCACACATGCTAGATCGACATCTTGGATAAAATTACTGTCAATCTTATCTGTGTTGGTGCGGTATACGTTTAATATAAAAACTACGGATAAACACTAGTTTTACATGTACTAATCCACTCTAAAACTAAGGGAATTAGTTTTACTAGCTCTTCTGATGGAATCATCATTGGAATTTGAATAATGGATGCAACTTCTTTTTCTTTGTTTGTCATAATTAACAGAACATTTGTATAAGAGAAATTAATTGTGTGATTTTTTTTTTCTCTCTCCTCTTTTCTCTTTAGATGGTCCACATGAGCCGGATTCAGTGTATATTGGCTCCTATACAACGAATAAATCTTTGGTATTACTGCTGTATCTAAATTCAGTGCATCCTATCAATGAGAACACTACACATTAGAGAAGAAAAAAAAAATTAACTAACATGTAATATTCTCATTTGTGAGATATACTGAATCTTTGATACAGCAGTAGTATCAAAGATTTATTCCTATACAACAAGAGTTTTCTTTGATATTACTGCAGTACTTTTATCATTTTTTAAAAAGGTAAAGTACCAAAATTTGAAAGAAAATGTAAATAAAGGCATGAATTTATATAAAATGAAAATTTTCTAATTGGGAAAAAAGAAAAAAAAAAAAGTATGTGTAATTTTAAACGACATAACTTATGTCATTTCACTCTCATGAAAAGATGAGATTCATACCTTTTTTTTGTCCACTTTCTCTCTTTCATAATTTATCTTTCTTTTTTTTTTCACTTAAAATGACACAACTTTACATCTTTTAAAATGACACGCACTTTTAAAAAATGAAGAAGAAATACAGAGTTTGATACTCCCGTGTATCATAAAAAAATCCCCCATACAACAAGTTGGTAAGGCAAGGCCAGTTGAATGATTTTTGAAGTCTATAAATGACCATACAAAGCGTAGTTGAAATAACTTTCCGAAACTTGCTTGTAAAAAAAAGACTTTTATGTTTTGCTTATTTTAGTTCTTTTTATAAAAATTAAAATTATTTATATTTAAAAAAATATTTAATTTTTGACTTCTGTTTTTTCAGAAACTAAAATTGTTAGCTTCCAAAAATTGATTTTTTTTTTATAACTTCTATTTTTTTTTTTAAATTCGACATCCAAATGAATTTTGTAGCATAAGTGTTTTTTTTTTCTTCTAAAAAAGTACTTTTTTACTAAAAAAAAGCAATCCAAACAAACCTGACTCCATCGGAGAGAGAATTGTCTTTTAAGTTTGACATTGTAATTAGAAATATTGTAAAGACTACACTTCTTACATGAAGAATGCTTAAAGGAGTAAAAGGACCAATTATTTCCGTCGATGGAGAGATCATTTTTTGTGCGATCATTATTTTTTGTGCGTCAGTAGTAGGTGCACGTGTCATTCAATAAGTGATACTTTGATAAAAGAATATTTTCTCTCCTTTCCATACAAGCATCACAGTTATTCCTCAATTTCTATTGGCTAGATGCACTGAGTGAATGATGCATCAATAGTACCGTAAATATTTCCCTCAATGGAAGACAAAGTCTACGAGTCTTAATCAGAATAGCTCTCTTGTACTCAAGCTATGTTGATCACGAAAAATACTATCCTAAATTATTATAAGTTATACCCAGCCGTTTGGTTCCTATCTGTGTAATTTCGCTAAATATCCAAAGTACCATCCCACGGTTTGTCTTGTGTTAGGTGTAAAAGGTCCTTAAACAATTTAATTAAAGGGATTAGTATTTCTCATCTCTACTTTCTTTATATGATCATATATGGACTTTACACACTTTTATGTATGTGTAAAAAATAAGATTATCTCTTACAACATAAAAAATATTAATCCCTTAATTAAATGCATAAATCGCTTGTTCTATGTTTCTGTGATTTGCATATAAGGTGTAAATAGGTAAAATGGTCTGCAATGAACTATGGCTTGCCCTATTTAATATATTTAACAAAGTACAATAGACTCATTTTAAAAAAATGTATCAATAAAATAGTTTATAATTTTTTTTATAAGGTCTACTTTATAATTATACTGATCAATTTGTATCATGTTATTTATTTTAAAAAATAGACTTAAATAGGTTACGTCAAATTAAAAAAAAAGACATACAAGTCATAGTCAAACTCAACATTTTACATTGACTTAATTTATTTAGGCAAAAGCTTAATTTAACATAGCTCATTTACACTCATATTTAGATAGTACAGTCTTTATTTGTTTTAAATTGTAAAAGGAAAAGGAAAATGCTTAAAGCGTATCTCTTATCTCTTACGTTTTTGTATAAATCATGGATAGGTTGTACAATTAAGGTCTAAATGTATAAGAATTTTATTTAAACCAATAATAATCAGGTAATAAAATTTATAAATATAAACTTTGAAGATAATCTATATTCACGAGTAACGTAACATTGATCTTCGCCACTCTTGTTATATTTTCCATTGATTGAAGAGTGTTTTAGTCTCAAAAGATCACAATTTTTGTCACCAGCTTAATATTTTGGCATTAGCTTAAATGTTTTGCTGGCTCCGCCACTGTATAAATCATTAAGAAAGCTCAACTCAACAATTTATGCTTTTGGGTATAAATATTTTTTTTATACTCCGTATATCTTTTATTAAGTATGAAAAAAAGTAACACACATTTATGTTAGGGGTTTACATTTATCATGCGACAAAAAAAAAAAAAGATTTCCTACTGATACAATATTTTGTGGGACATGTATTTTTTGAAACGAAAAATAAAAAAAAAACTAAGACACGAAAAACGAATTTCTATAACATGATAAATTTACGCAATATAATTTTTATAAAACCCTTTATGTTATGGCTATTTCTTTCCCTATTTTATTTTTATTTTTTTATCTTAGAAATGGGAGTAACTACTCCCTTATCACCGAAAATGTAATCAAATTATACTTTCCGATTAATTTAAAGTTAACGACAAATGTTAAAAGCATTAAAGATTGGTGCTTCAAAGAATGGCTGATCGGGCTTACTCGTGCTGTCTGAGGAAAGAATAGGTGCGCTTATTGGCTTGCGGGTCTCTCTCATGATTCTCTCGAGAATCTGATTATTCCCCAGGATGTTCCCTTTGTTCTGGGTCCTCTCCTGACCCATGAGTAACTCTAGATCTCTAGCTTTATAGTTTTTTCTTTTGGGCTTTGGCCCCCTTGTGTACTAAAAAAAGCAAAAAAGTTAACGACAAATTCCAAGAAACTTCATACATAGAAGAGAAACAAGTGTATCAAGCCATTTTCCCGGGTCAAATTATCTCCATTGTTAATCACTTGATTTGGACCACGAATAAAATCAATTCAACTCAAAATTTTAAAAATATTAAATGAAGTCTTATTTAATGATTTATATTATTTTTTAGAGGAAGAATATATTTATAACCAAAAAAGTTTACCATTTTTACAATTAACTTAATCATCGTTAATTTCTGTCAATCTAACGGTTATAATTATTTTAAAAATTATTGAGTCATATTTATTAATTAATTATTAATTTTTAATAAATTCAATAAATTATAACCGTTAGATTGACAAAAATCAAAGTATATCCTGCCCCTATTTTTTGGTTACATCTTTTTACATAAAAGTCCTTTAAATTTGAAATCTAAACATATTTACCAAAAAAAAAAAAAAATCTAAACATTGTATAGGCATATATTTTTTTTTAAATTTTATCTTATATTTATTTAATTCGACAAGTGCCTGCGCGCTGAAACGATTCTTTACATAAACCATCCATACCTTAAATCAAATATTAAGGATAATTGCTACTTGGCTAAGAAGTTGGAGTGCTAGACTGCCAAAAAAACCAAAAAAACCTTTGAAGTCAATAACCTCAATCTCTTTGATCTTGCATACCGACATCCTACCCCTTCTACTGTATTTGATACTTCTCTCTCTCTCTCTCTCTCTCTCTCTGCAACTATTGATCAATTTTGCTTCTCTGCATTTTCTAACCAAGTTTTGACTTTGACCTTTTGAGGCTGTTTGAGTTGGTTGTTATGATTATCGGCTTCCAAAATCCAAACGTAAAAGGATGAATCAGAATAAGCAAGTAGCCTCATTGACCACGACGCGTTTGTCACCACTGGCTAAACCCTTCACGCTTAACCGCTCTTCGCACCAACCCGGTTCGATGCTCTCAACTCATGAACCTTGTGTCTATTCCTTGCAACACTGTAACCATGATGACCCTTTTAGTTCTTTGCTTGATTCTTTTCGAAAAACTAACCTCGCTTCTAAGGGTGACTATGGGTTTGGCCAGGACACTCTCACAACAACTTTACCAGTTGAAACTGCTACTCAGGCCCAGGAAAAAACCCTTCTTGAACAGCACCCTTCTCTGGATTTGCCAAAAAATGGTGACTTTGATGGGCTTAATTGGTCACACTTTGATATTATGGACGATTTCTCGTTGCTCAATTACTCACCATGTGTTACTACTGGTTTAGGTAATGGGAGTGAGGTGAGTTATGGTCAGCAAGGAGTGGATTTTCACAAGAGTTTGTTTGGCAAAGGAAATGATGTTGGCAGTTCAGCTGCTGATGCCAGCATTTTTCACAAAGGTAGTTTCTTTTAATGCCTTGCAAAATTTCTTCTGTAGTTTTTTAGTTTGACTGATTGACTCGGGTGCTTATGGTTGATTCTGATGCTTATGTTTTTACTTCATTGTATTATTTCATATTGATTATTCTTTTCTTGTCTTATTGATTCCCAATCCCTTACTTTTGACATTTGAGGCCAATGTATCTTTTGATAAGCATTTTATTTTACCTTTAATAATTGATTTTGCTTTGATGCAATTTTTGTTTTAACAAATTAAGCTTTTTTCTGCATAAATGAGGATTACAAGTTGGAAATTGTCCTATTCTAGTTTCCTTCTCTTTTTCATATTCTGAGTCTATTGTAAGATTCTGAGCTCTGTGTTTTAAGGTTGCTGACATGCAGTTATATGTATAAGGTTTAACAATTGGAAAAAAGCTCCTCCAAATTGACCAAGTGCGATTATATTTACCCTTGAATTTTAGTGTGTTAAGATCTTGATACACATTAAATTAAATGAGAGGTGGATATCCTAACAATTGAGGGGCACGTGGTTCTATAGATAAAGAAGGAATTTTTAAGAGAATCTTGAAATCTTTATTGCTGTTGAAAATTATAGTTGGCACAATTTCTAAAGCAATTCTTCATCATTTCATATTGCAAACTCTTCTCTAGTCAATTGAATATTTAGAATATCTACTAATATTGCATTTAAGACAGGAGGGAAGTGTATGTTTTAACTTGTGACAGCACTGCTTACATTGGATCCCTCCTTCATGTAATGCAGTTAGTGTATCATGAGCATGGTTGCAACTCGGATTTTTCTTTTATTTTCGTATTTTTATAATTAAGGAACCTCACTAATGTGATCCTTTAGCTGTGAAGTTTGGATATCTTTCAGCAATGAAATCCATGCTTCAAGAGTTGAGATTGAAATTGTCTTCCTCCTAAGTGTGAGGAATTACACAGGCACTACACTACACACAAATTAGGCTTAGTTACCTTCAGAAATAAAAATACCGGTATTCACTTAACTGCAAATTATAACTATGAATTTTGTAGGTTTAGGGAAGTTAAATGAAGTTTTCTCCTTAAGCCCTTGTGCATCACTGCATCTTAAAGTTTTGTTACTTGAAAGATAAGTGTTGAGATATATAGTCCCACATTGGTTGTATGTGCAACTAATGTGGAGTTTATAAGGTCTTGGGCACTCCCACCCTTTGAGCTAACTTTTGGGATGGTGTATCCCAAGGTTCTTTACATGGTATCAAAGCCTCGCCGCCCCTCACTTTCTCTTGTGGCGTTTCTTAGCACAGGTAGGTTGGGCCTGTTGCATTGTCCACTCTTCAAGCCCAATGGGCTTTCGTGTGAAGGGGCGTGTTGAGATATATAGTCCCACATTGGTTGTATGTGCAACTAATGTGGAGTTTATAAGGTCTTGGGCACTCCCTCCCTTTGAGCTAGCTTTTGGGATGGTGTATCCCAAAGTTCTTTACAATAAGAAAGTGAGTTTGTTTCACTCTATGGTCTCATGGACATCTAAGACTCTAAAAATAAGATTTGACTCTTTTATTATACGTTGTTCTCTTCTTGAAACTGTTTTGAAGATTAACTACACTCATGAGCGTGTCAGTGTCTGTACAGTGGTAATTTGGTAATCCTTTACAACTATTAAGTGAAAAAAATGTACAATTTTCATATCTGAAGTGATGACTGATGGGGATGTTTTAGCTATAGATATATCATTATCTTTATTGTTCCAATTATGCTCCCCATATATGGTAATATTAGTTTTACAGTGAACCAATAAAATAGGTTCAATTATACTGCTATCAAGGGCATCAAAGGCTTGCTCCTATTTAGGATTGACCTCTAATATTCTGTTCTTGAATTTCGATTAAGTCTTTTGACAAGATTTAGTTTGATGCTTCATATAAAATTTTATTAAAAATAAAAAATGGGACAAATAACTGAGAAAATTTGGAATGATATGTACAGGTAAGCATTCTGTTGATGGGTTGAATCCCTGTCTAAGAGTGTCTCATGGTATTTTCAATAAAAGCACTTCTACGATTGTGGCAAAAGACATTCTACCGAATTCTAAAGGCTCAATACACACAGCTGATGAATCTAGCTCCTTTCATATTTCTAATTGTAAGGTTGCCCCAGTCAAGTTATCAACAACTGATATGTCCTCTGCTAAAACCACTCCTCAAAATCAGTCTTCTAAGAATTTAGGTGACAATGGCTCTGAGGTGGATTCTCCTTGTTGGAAGGGAACCATGGCTTTTTGTCCAACTCCAGAAGAAAGTTCAGGGTCTGCACAATTTCATCATGTTGAGAAAGCAACAGAAAAACATAACAGTTTAAATCCTCGGGCTCCTCAATTTTTTCCTGGTGTTGGATACATTAAAGATGATTTTGTGTCTTCCAACTCTAGTGTGCCTGTAGCTACTGATTTGTTGTCAGGAGAGGACACATTCATGAAAACTGTTATGGAAAAATCCCCAGTAGAATTGAATATGGGAATTGAACTTCGGCATTCTAGTAACATCTGTGGAAGAGAAATGGCATTTAATATGCTTAATGATCCACAAAATAGCTCTGTGGATCCTGTGCTAAATTCACTATGTATGACGACTCAATCTTCTTCTAAAGAAGATTGCTTGACGTCAAAAGGGAAGCTTGTAACTATCGTTGATGTTGATGACTTTGTAAAGGGAACTAAAGATCCCAGGTCTAGTAGGTCAATCAGTGAGGTTTTCCCTGCCAAGGGTCATTCTCCAACTCCAACTTCGACAACATTATCAACCCAAGTTAGTGTTGTTACTGATCTTCTTAAAACATTTGAAGGTGTTTCTAAGTCTTTGATTGAATCACCAAAACCTGATGTTGATGTAATGGTCAGAGCAATACATGTTCTTTCAGAATTACTTGTACAAACTGGTGTGGACGGAGTAGATTCATGTAATGAACATGATCATATTATTATGATCCAGAAAATAATCAATAATCTGAATGTTTTTAGCACAAAAAAATGTGGCCAAAGGATTCCAACCCTTGATTCAACTCCTGCAGATAGTCCATTTTGTCTTGACAGGTCATTAGAGCAGCGTCCCAAGGTATGTATGAATCTATGTCTTCGAAGCAATTTATGCACGGTAGCAGCCTGGCTGGGCCATTTTATTTTCCTTTTTTGCTCAATCTTTTTGGCTTTTGAAACTGAGATGTGCATGTCTACTTTCAAGGGACTTGAAATGACAAGGATAGAGACCTGTACTGTTCAACACCAGCTTTATCCGCAGAATGAGTATATGGGGAAAAACAGAGTTTCTAAAGATTTTGGTGAGAGTGGACAGTCTCCTTTTGCATCTTGCAGTAATGAAGGCACTGAGAAAGGCAATGAAATTGCTCAGGTACCCGTATGGCTGTGATTGTAATTAGAATCCAATCAGATTTTGTGTTTTCCAAAATCTGAAATAAATATTTGAGTTTTTGTCGCTTCAGGACATTCGGAGAAGGCTTGGGAAAAAACTGGATTTTGATAAACAAATGCATCCAATGGCTTTCCTGTTTTGGAATTTATGGCTTGATTCTGAAGCAGAACAGTGTTATACGAAATATAAAACTTATCATGGCCTAATGGAAGCTGGGGTGGATGTAAGTTGCACAAATGTTGCGGTATTTCCCTCTGCCTTAAAATCTTATATCAATCTTCCCTTTTCTTTACCAGCTAATTATATATATATATACTGTAAAGAACCTTGGGATACACCATCCCAAAAGCTAGCTCAAAGGGTGGGAGTGCCCAAGTTCTTATAAACTCCACATTAGTTGCACATACAACCAATGTTGGACACTATATATCTAAAGAGTGAGAGTGCCCAATGCCTTATAAACCTCACATTAGTTGCCCATACAACTAATGTGGGACTATATTTCTCAACATATATATATATATATATATGGAAAGCGATTAACTTTTACTAGTAGAAGAATAAGAACTCTTATGCCGATTGTTAATTGTTGATTCTGCTTGCATCAAATGTTTCACGTGAACTCTCTAACTCTCATCTCCAATAAATTAGAATCATTAAATGCAAGTAGAATCAAGGATTAGTAATAAGTGTATCAGTTCTTATTCTGATACTAGTATAAGAATAACAAGTTTTTATATCCAAGTTTAATTGTTGATCCTACTTGCAAGCATATTTAAGGTTGAAAGTGTAATTTAATTTCTATTTTCAGGATTTGTGGTGCAAGAGAACCAACTAGAGGCTGTAATTAGACATCGGAGATATCATACATAATATCAACTAATTCTGGTATTAATTTCTACTTGTACAAATGCAACTGATTCATGTAAACGCAATGAATCTGGACTGATATCAAGAGGGGGAAATTGTAATAGTTGATATTGTACTACGTAAAGAGTTCTATCATGCCACTATTATTTGTGGTTTGTTTTTAAAGTTGACAGAAATATGCTTAAGCAAGTTTAACCACATTCAAATACTGATAATTATTGTCTATATATAGATTTTTTTTATTTGTATCGGGATATAATTAGGTTTATTAACTTTTTTTGTTCCATTTTTTATTTGCATCAATATTATCGTGTAGGAAATTGCTTACTAATTCTTTTGTTTGGTCTTCTGGAGTATGCGAATAGCTGCGTAGCTTCCTGCTTTGGAGTTCTTTGGATGATTCAGTGACCTATATATGAGTTGTTTATCGAAAAGACCTATGCTTGCTCATTCACATGGTGTGGTTCATGTCATCTTCACTTGTTCTCTCCTAAACTTTCAAGTTACTCTGTTAACCACTTTTGTGAAGATATCATGACGTTGATGCTACTTATGTAGTGTACTTCTCTCCTGAACCTTTTTTATTCATGTCATTGTGTCAACTCTTCCTTAGGGAACACTGAACAAGGTCAAGTTATTCTACTATATATAAACACAAGCCCATCAACATCAACAACACCTTTATCTCAAATTAATTGGGGCCTAAAGAAAATTTCTGAAAGAAATTTGAATTATGGATTATATAAGTTAGGCTACTGGTAAATGACACAATGTGGCTAGTATCTATAACTGTTGCATATATAATGACACACAAACAATTGTGTTTCGAGCTTAGCAATGATCGAGAACATGATCTGACGTTAGAACAACTTAGCATTGAAACGTGTCTTTTGTCAAGTAGCAACAAACAAACAGACTGTTATAAATGCTAAACAAACTATTAGCTCAATTTGGTAAGAAGAATAAGATGCACGAAACCTCGTTAGTAAACGGTCAAGCATCGTTATCAGTTGAGGCCTACTCCTCTGTTGAAAGTCATATTTGTTTTTATATTATATGAATTTTTTAATCATGGTAAGCTAATGTTAAAGTACTTCCTTACCTAATCCCTAATAAAGAGATTACCATTTACCAACATAAATTTGGACTCAATACTTTTACCTTTAAACTAGTTGAATCATCCATCCTTGGAACCACCTGTGTAACCTGGTTAAACATAATTGGTTCAAACTCTATTGAAAGACTCGCTGTAAAATTTCTCACAATTTGTCAACAAAAATAAAATTGCTCTAGTATAATTTTAACTTTATGATAAATCTAAAATTAAAAAATGTGTATATGATTGTAAAATATCCCAAGTAATAATAAAATCGAAGGTGTAAATGTGCATATGTTGTTGGTCATCTTAGAAACTCAGATAATTAGAGAATTCTATTATCGTCCATCGTTCTTGACAGCTTTTACAATTTGAATGCAAACCACAAATAAAATTATACCCTATGTTAAATAGACTAGCAAAAGGATCTAGCCAGAAATAAATTCTAGTCAGTATTTACTGAATCCATCCATTATAGAAATCAGGATCACACTATTGCTCAACTAGATCCAATATAATCAAAAATATCATGAACTCAAAACACTATATAATTACAATGGGCTTAATAAGATAAAACTGGAATATTTCATTAATCCGAATTATTTTAAAAATAATAAAATAACATTAATTAATAAAGCCCTTATAATAAAAAATTCTACCCACCAAAAATAAAATAAAATTCTAACCCTTTAATCATGCATTTAATTATCTTATAAGTATTTCGTCTAAAAAGATTTTATATTATTGACGTTTTGCTAACGAGTGTTTTAAGGCACTATTTAAAGAATAAAAACAAAATGTATTTACTAAAAAGTGAAATTCTTTTTAGTTTTTAAATGTAGTAAATGATTTATATTATATTTAATACTTTTCATTTTCCATTTCTTTAACTATCCTTGGGAACTAGCTGGCAAAACCTATTAAATTATGGGCAATATCATATTACACTTTGGAATGTCAATATTATCAGGTTGGAATGATCTTTTCCATGTAGTTTTCTTCATTGAAAAACGTTACTATTATGTTTCTAACATTTCTTTGATTGCTGGGTGCTGGCCAGTGGTCATGAACTTGTAGTTTAAGGGTTGTTAGTTAAAGATGTACACAACCCAACCGAAGCTTTCCTTATACTTCCAGCAATAACTTCAAATCTTTATGCCTTGTTATGAAAAAAGAACTACACGTTGCTTCTCATCTCTCACTGTCTCTGAATGTGCCTTTGTGTGTGAGTTAAACAATGAATGACATCAACTCCCCAACCTCTGAAAATGAACCCACCACATATCCTTTACACTAGTATAGTACAAATTTGCTTTCCAAAGTCTAGTTTCAGTGAGTTTATGCTCTTTCATATAAACTCATTAGAGCTTAGATTGAAAAGCAAAGGGTCAGAGAGGTTTATATATTGACATTTTGGTCCTTGAACATAAGGTGGACTAAAACCAAAAATGATGGAATCTGGGGTTCATTTCTGCAACTCTTGTGGGGAACAAGTTGGACTTGATGCTAATGGGGAGGTGTTTGTGGCTTGTCATGAGTGCTATTTCCCAATTTGCAAGGCTTGTTTTGAATATGAAATCAATGAGGGACGTAGGGTCTGCTTGAGATGTGCCACTCCCTATGCTGGTAAGTAACCCTCCTATGTCTAATTGTCTACATTTATATTTCCAATTTATTATGTGAATTATCTGTAACTCTTTTTTTACTCTTCCTTTCAATTTTCATTACATGGTTATTTTAGACTTACAATCTTGGAAGGCTAATTAAACTTTGACATTTCAAGAATCATTCAACAAAGTAAGAGACTAAATAAAAGTAAAAGAAATAGAATTTTAGTTTTAATTTTCTAAAAAGGAGGCAAAGAAAATCTTTTGACATTTCTTATTTAATTATCTATTCATCAGTTTAATTGAAGCATTCTCTTTTCTTCTGAATTATTTTCTCATTCACTCAAGTAAATATATTCATTTATTTTTTTAATAAAAAGTGGCTCGTTTACTCGTTCATCACATGCCCTTTTTTGTGAAATATATATCCTAAGGTTTGTTTCTTTCATAGATAGAACAAAAGATAATGATGACACAAAGGTTTCTGGATATCAATCCACAATGGCTGCCCAGATCAGTGTTTCTCAGGTAATTAACAGTAACATTAATAGAGGTGCAAATGATAATCAGCCTTATTATTTGTATTTTATTTTTTGTAATATAGTAAAGTTGTTCACGTTTGCACTTACAACCTCTCCTTGCATTATGTAGGATGATGGACTCCATGCTAGGCATGTCAGTACTGTGTCCACAGTGGATAGTGGTAAAGAAGAGAGACTTCAGCCCATATTTTCTACTACAATTTCTTTTGGAATGCTCATTGATAATCATAAATCATAACATGGTTTTTCTTGTAGAATTAAATGATGAATATGGGAATCCAATCTGGAAAAATAGAGTGGAGAGCTGGAAGGAAAAGGATAAAAAGAACAAGAAGAAAAAAGCTGCACCCAAGGCTGAAAATGAGACCCCAATTCCACCAGAACAACAGATGGGAGAAATACAGTAAGTTCAATGAGAAAAGCAGCACTTTTCCTGAAGGGAACTAATTGTATATTAATAAAACTGTATTTTGTACCTAGGTATAATATTAATTGTTGATTTCTAATCAAATTATTATAAACCATCTGGTTGTAACTGCAAGACTATAAATTTGATAATGAATATTTTTGATGTGTTTACTATTTTTGTATTGACATTTTGGTCCATTGGTTTAAAATCAATTCAATCATATATTTATTCTGATGTACATGGCTACATGCTGATCTGTTTTGCAGGCCATCAGAGTCTGCTGCTGCTGAGCCACTTTCAATCATTATTCCAATCTCCAAAACGAAACTCTCACCATACAGATTTGTGATAGTCATGCGACTAATAATCTTGGGACTTTTCTTCCATTATCGAGTTACAAATCCTGTTGATAGTGCTTATGGACTGTGGCTGACCTCTATCATCTGTGAGATCTGGTTTGCATTTTCCTGGGTGTTAGATCAGTTCCCTAAATGGTCTCCCATCAACAGGGAAACTTTTATTGACAGGCTATCTGCAAGGTAAGTACATATAGTTGTAAAACATTTGCAAACCTTGTTCCTTGTACTTCAAGATTTGAGCTGAAAAATCATATTGTAGTATATTATGTATGTTTCAACATTTGTTTCTTTGTGTGTTCAGAATTTGTAAAAGGTAATCTATGAAAATGATATCAATGTATAGTGTATAATAAAATAATGTCTAAGTTGAATATGAGAGCTAATATTTAATCTGTAGTCTGTACTTTGCATGCTGAATGTGCTCACATTTCATAATGCCATGGCAGGTATGAAAGAGAGGGTGAACCCTCTCAACTAGCAGCTGTGGATTTCTTTGTTAGTACAGTTGACCCTATGAAAGAACCGCCATTAATCACATCTAATACAGTGCTTTCTATCCTTGCTGTGGACTACCCTGTGGATAAAGTATCCTGTTATGTATCAGATGATGGTGCTGCAATGCTGACATTTGAATCCCTTGTGGAGACAGCTGACTTTGCAAGAAAGTGGGTTCCATTTTGCAAAAAGTTTTCAATTGAACCACGAGCACCTGAGTTCTACTTCTCTCAGAAGATTGACTACCTGAAGGACAAAGTAGAACCTTCTTTTGTGAAGGAACGTAGAGCAATGAAGGTAAGCATATGAAGCTTCCTATTTTATGACTTCAAAGACAGGACACCCTTGATATTTGAAACATATCTGATTTGCTATACTCACCACCTTGATTTTGCAATTTGAGTATCTTAGAGAAACCTCTTCATGATTGTGTTTCATTTTTGCCAGAGAGATTATGAAGAGTTTAAAGTAAGAATTAATGCTTTGGTAGCAAAGGCTCAGAAAACACCAGATGAAGGATGGAGTATGCAAGATGGAACCTCTTGGCCAGGAAATAACTCACGCGATCACCCTGGCATGATTCAGGTATATTCATTCATTTTGTGTATAAACAAATCTCAATGCAGATATGCAGAGTCAGATGCCTAATTTCTGCAACTTGGCTACAGAATTTTTGAGAGTTCTGACAGTTTAACAGTGCTTAGTATTTTCTTGTATTGCTTTATAAGAGCTAATTATATACTTTGTGTAGCAGCAATTCAATACCTATTCAGCAATATGACTAATTTTTCAATTAATAATATATCATGTCACCAAGTTAAGCCTTTGTGTTCCTTTCTTCAATTTCCACAACATTCGTTCTAACTTTTCACTATAAAAAATGAATGCTTCATCTGAACATTCATATTATGTTGAGATATATAGTCCCACATTGGTTGTGCTAGCAACTAATGTGGAGTTTATAAAGCTTTGGGCACTCTCACCCTTTGAGCTAGCTTTTGGGGTGGTGTGTCCCAAGGTTCTTTACATGGTATCAAAGCCTCGCCGCCCCCCACTTTCTCTTGTGGACTTTCTTAGCACAAGTAGGCTGGGCCTGTTGCATCTTCCACTCTTCAAGCCCAATAGGCTT